ATCAACAATAGAATAGCAGAACCACCTGCTCAAATTGCTAAAAGGTGTCTAAGCAGAACAACCTACCACTCACGTCCTCGCAAAATACAAGAATAACCTGTTGGAACCTTGGCTATGACTAAATCAGGGAAACCAAAAGCTTCAAGTGAGACTAAAGCAAAGGCGCTGGGTGCTCTGGTTCCCTGTTCTCAAGCCCAGCCCCCTCACCCCCACCCTTGCCCTCCCGAAGCAGGACTCGGCTGCCGTTAAAGGAATCCAGGGAAAGGGGGCTTGGACCCTACTGTGGACGAAATCCATTTCAACCGTGGAGAACCCCTTGGAATGACTCAATTCTCCTGCAAATGCAAAAATACACTGTTCAACCACGGTTTTCAAATGTTGCGAAATGGGATTCGTTCATGCACAGAATGCAGATCACGATCCCTAGCCTTCCAATCGAAAATAGATATCACCTTGGCCTTTCCAACCGGTGCGCCGTAGAGAATGGAAACCCTAGGGGTTGACCTCAACCCAACGGAGCACCACTGAACTAGGGCTCATGTCTCTCAAGGGACGCTGCCACACCAGTTGCCGGCACAAGGGCCGTCGCCGACCGCAACATGTTCATGATTTCGAAGCTCAAACCATTACGATTTGCTTGAGGTGCCACACCAGAATAACGTGCTCGTCATGACCACGTCCCTGTAAACCAGCAGGGAACAACAGGAATCAGGACACCGACACGAAACATCTGAACGAACACCGTGCGCATCTGTAAGCGTTTCAATCAATAAGGTTTACAAAGATCGAACTGGCATTTTCTACCTCAGCCATTGTCCACCAAAATGACATGTTTGACTCTGCATGGCCCATATTTGGTGACCCTCAAAATGCTCAGTTCTTCAATAACCGTGGAAAAAAAGAACTGTTTTTGTGGAAGACCATTTTTAGTGGGGCAGCCACCCAAGAAAAGGGAAAAAGGGTGCCACTGAACACCTGAGAATGTAAAAGAAACTTCAAGGAAGATCGCAGCGGTGGCTCCAGGCACCATAGATCACTAAGAGACAAGAAGCCCCGTGTTCCACCCGCACCATACTCCTTTGCCCTAGGTCCGGAGCCAGGGTCCGACGCCGCGTCGACTCTGCAAGGTGCAAGGGTGGATGGTTTATCATGGCAATCCTTCTTCGCCTGTCTGAAGGCAAAACAAAATCAAGCCACCATTTTGGGATACCTCTATTTTGTCAAATATTTATTTGACCTGTGCGTTTTTGACCTTGCTTGCTGATGGAAAAAGCTCTTCTCCCCACCGACATGAGGGATATCCATGTGGCTTCACGCTGAAGAGTTCCAACCGGATTTGGAGCCGCCAAGCTAGGTCCTCCAGTAGAGACATTGCAATAAGGGTACCCTTTTTCTGTAGTCTATTTCAGTAGGGGAACCCTCCCCCAAAAAAAGGGTAAAGGGGCACTACTGGGGGACCTTGAAAAGCAAAAATCTCAACATACCCACACCACAAAATCTCCCCACAACGCGAACCTTTTATCTCTACTTACACCAGTGTCCCCCGGAGCGCCCATGGACAGGTGAAATCAGTTCCGCGAATCCCAAGTCCCTGACACCCGGGCAATGTGTTTTTTATGGCAAAGGACACCCGGTGCTTCGAGTTGCCGCTATAGTAGGTAAGCACAATATTCCGTCATGTAAATCCTAGAGGTAAGAAACCCTGGTTAGCCCTACTATAATGACAGTGGTAACTGGAGGCAAAGGGAATGACCACAGGAAACTACCAGGTTTTGATCATGGCTAGCAAATGTTTCCTGGCTGGCTGCCAAGTCTTGGCCAAAGAAGTGCTACATTGGAACTTGGTTGCTCCTGGCTGTTTCGGAGGACCAGGGGTGCTTCCTCTTGGTCTTCGTGGTCTTCCTTTCACCGGCCAAAAGGGGTCCCCTGTTAGAAAAACAGAGGGGTCCACCACCCCTTTTAGAAAAACAGTTGTGAACAAACAACATGGACACACAAGGTTCTTCTTGACCCCCGACCAAGAAAACTGGGCCAGGCGTTTGAGTTGTTAGCTTGGGGCGTTGGCCCAACCCCTGAGACCGCCCCTTTGTTATTTGTTTGGTAGGGATCTGGATGTCAGCCCGGCCATTCCCGTGATTAGTGATCTCCGTTGCTTTCTGCTCCGCTGCTAATGTGACTAACTTTTAGTGGCTTAATGGAAAACCCATTAGTTGGCAAAAAGGTAAAGTCCTAACACCCAAGCAAAATGCACCAAAGTAATTCAGCCGGATGAGTGTGGGCTTTAAATCTTGTGGTTCAAGTCACCTGACCAAAAGACTGGGCGCCAAAATAGGTCGGGTGGTCTCCTCAATGGGTTCTAACAAGGATGCGACACACAGAATTGTCCTTTCGTTCAGGCTAGAACCCGCTATATTAGAGCCCGTTAGGGTCCCCTGATTGAACATAAGACTGGCAAAATATGCCTGGACACTAACACAATCTCCAGCCACTGGTGTTGTCCTTTTTTGGCATTGCATTGACGGGTGCCCGTTTTGGGGCTGTGTAAAAGGGAAACCAAACGGAAACCCAGAGAGAACCGCCAATTTTGGAGGTGTCCCGATTTACTGACACGCTCGCATCTTATGAGACTCAATTTGTCCCAATTGCTATTTGACGCACTTGCCCAAAGCGAGTTTGCTGACGTTCGACCTTGTGGTGTCCTTTTGGTTTGTTCGTGGTGGTCTAGTTATAGTCATCGCCCCACAAACACGATCTGCTTGCAGGGCCGAGCACATGCAGTTTGGGCAAGTAGATGCCAGCAGCCCTGCTCCTAGCATAGACTTCTTCTATTGCATATCGCGCGCTTATCCCGAAGGCCCGCTCTTGGCCTGTCGTTCTCTCGTAGAGCAAAGACGAGCCACGGTCAAACTCTGCTCCTTTTACGTGACGGGCTTGTTTTGGATTTGCCCCAATTCGTAGGGCTATGGGTTTCTTAGTGCCTCCTTAGGCACCAAACAACCCTCACAGTAGGAGGTTTCCTTTGTACAAGGGTCTACCCGAAACCAGGTAAAGCTTTCAACAATGGCGGATATTCGATCCTGTTTCTGGTTGGGACTGTCCTAAATCACCTTCATCTATCCGAATCGGTTTTGGTTGTGGCTCAGGTACTCTCCAAACCATGATGATCCCTGCCCGCAAAAAATCCTTGCTTGCTTCCGGGTTAGAGGGAAGGTAGCAATTACCCTAAAAGTTAGAGGGCAGGAGATTGCGGCGGCGCACATGTTGCTATGTTGTGATCTGATTGTGTATGCAGGTATGTAGCTGTTGTTTGCACTTGCTTTTCTTATGTTGAGCTCCCTTTCAAAACGGTGTGTTCATTTGATAGCCAAATTGGAAGCAGACATCCTATTTCACAAGAATAGTAATTCTACATAGACATCCTGAAAGGAATATGTCCTTACTAAATCATGTTTGACATCAATTATAATTTGAGTAGACATTGATAAATATATTAGGCATACTTTGACAAGGAAAGAATTCAGAGGTCCAAAATCGTGTTTTCGCCTAGCCCCGAGTACTACCATGGTTAAGCGCACCAAAAAAAAGGTGTTGTAGTGTTCTTTTAATACTAACGTTCGTCTCCATCAACGCTCTCAAAACCGAACCAGAATATAATATACGAATATATATATATATATAGATATATGTGTGTTTCAATTTCGAATTCAAACAGAATGTCCTTTCCGATGAAGCTTTCTTCACACATCGGATACCATTTTAACAAACAGTTCTATAAGAGTTCAACTTATAATGTCCATGTTAAGCTGGACTTGCAAGTATTAGGGTCCTATATTTAAATTTTAGACAGCAATGTATTGCCAAAATAGACCTTTACACTTCAATTTGAGTTTAGTAGATTTTGATGAGGAAAGAATCCTATCATAAATTATATTATTGGATTCTACATGAGAATCATTGTATTTTAACATTAGTACTTTCACAGGATGTCCTTCTGAATATACAGTAATGGGATTTTGCAAATCAGTTGGCATTGAAACGCAACTGATTCAAAAGGAGTTCAACTCGAATTTCCATTCTAAGCTGGAATTTGAGCAGGAATTCATTTCAATAAAAACAAATCCACTGGATCAGCCTTGCCCAAAACAAAACAAACATGGACAAATGAAACAAACCATTCTCCCAAAACTCTTGGCGCAGTATGTGGCTTCTTCTACAAAGAGTGTCTGAGGAATGTCCTTTCGGTTTTTGGGTTTCTCGACTTCGTCTTCAGCTTTTGGTTGTGGGCAGGCTTGATCCAACGGAAAGACTCCTGAGAATTTGCTTTGGCAGTTTTTTGTGTGCTTATTTGTTTCTTTAGTTTTCTCCGAGTTTTGTGCGGTGTTTTGAAACACGATAATGCATGAAAACATCACAGAAGCACATTTACACACACACACACACATCCCTCAAAGTAAAAGAAACACCACGCAATTGACACAGGTCCAAGCAAAAATGAAACATGCACTGCCACAGTCCGAAAGGTTGACGATGCAACAACCTAACAGCATTCACTAAAAGTTGCCGCTTGGTGTTGCAACCACATCCCCCAGGGAAAATAGAACTACGATTGGAGATCTCTAGTGGCCACTCTGCCCCCAGTGCAACGAGGCGGACTTGTTGCTGGTTAGTATGGAACATGCGGACTTGTTCCCCAAAACTTTGGAGGCTAAAGATCCATACGATCTCTTGGGAAACAAAAGGTCTCTCTGCGATTCAGTCACAAAGGCTGGTTTCATGGCATGATTAGAGTTAGGCCCAGTTCTAGAATGCATATGTCATGACTTGCTTCAGTTTGAGTCACTGGTAAACTTTGCAAAATGTATCGTAAGACTACCCCATGGGTATGAGCAGATTTTCTTGGTTGCTGTTGACCCCCCCTGCAAAAAGTTTAACTTTTTGGAGGTCTAGTGGAACACCCCTTGATTTCCTAAAAAGTTGAAGTCGAAAGATCCATGGGTATGAGTCGGTATGAGCATATTTTGACCGTCATACGCTCTGCTGCCGGCATTTCTTCCGGTTTACCACTGCCAGCTCTGGAGTGCCACTGCCACCGGGCAGTGGCGTGGAAGACTCCGCGGTGTTCGTGACGGAGCGCCGAGCGCCTAGGTGCTCGGTGCTCGGTTCCCGAGTGCCGCTGTTCTTTGGATACTGGGGTTTAGGGTTTAGGGGTTTAGGGGTTTAGGGGTTCAGGGTTTAGGGTTTAGGGTTTAGGGGTTTAGGGGTTTAGGGGTTCAGGGTTTAGGGGTTTAGGGGTTTAGGGTTTAGGGGTTTAGGGGTTTAGGGGTTTAGGGGGTTTAGGGGGTTTAGGGGGTTTAGGGGGTTTAGGGGGTTTAGGGGGTTTAGGGGGTTTAGGGGGGGGGGGCGGGGCGGGGGAAGGGCCCAAATAAGCCCTTACAAAGCCCTTAGCACTTCTTTGGGCTTCCTCCCCCTCCCCCCCCCGCCCGCCCCCATGAATTTATGCCGGCGCCCACTGGGGAATGACCCAGGGTTTGGGAATGAACCGGAAGGGGTTTCCCTTAAAGGAAACCATACGGGATGATTTATAGGGCTCATTCCCTCCTCCCCTGCTGAGAACCAGCAAGTATTTGGGGGTATGCCCCCCCAAGCACTCAGATTTTCCCGATTTCCCCTATGGGGTAGTAGTGGCTCAGGGGTAACCAAGACTCTCTTAGAGCCAATGAGGGCATCAACCAGCTCAACCTGTGGGCTTTTTAGGAGGCCTAGTTCGGGTCATTTCTGAATTGGCAAACCGTCCATATTGAGAACAAGCAAGTTTCTACCCAAAGCCAGGAATACTCGGATAGACCCACAACCTACAAGCCGGACTTATTCGGAAAACCCAAATCGTAGTGTTTTGTTGAGCTTTTGCCAACAATGGTGAACTTTTCTGGGGCGATACCGTTCTAGGAAGGGTTCCAAGAAAGAATATGTCCTATGAACTTCAGATTAATTCGGATGGCCGTGCTGCTCAGGGGGTTGCCCTTCAGCAAGTCTTTTTTGGAGCTTCCTTTGAGGAGGGTCCTCTTGATTCATCCGAGTTAAGCTGGGAACCGCCAAGGCGCCATTCGAGGAGAGGAACATGAGCCCGGCCGAGCCTAAAGGGTTCAGCGCGGGGCTGAAATTCTGCATGTTGACCGAGTTGCGGATCGCTTGATGGCTCAACCGAGGTCCCTTCACCTGAGCTAGAACGGAGCCAAGAGCAGAACCCCAAACTGTGAAGTTGGGCCCTGTGTCAGCATGGCCATCGATTTCCCGATCAAAGCGCATGGTCCGTTCTTAAAATTTCAGGCAGGCCGAAGACTTGCGCTGAAGGATTTGGCGTTCGCACTCACAAGCTGCTAGGCGATGGCCAAGCTCGACGCATGAGCATATCTTTGGGCTGTCCAAGGCCTACCCGTTCCTGTTAAAGCCTTCTCGCGGAGACCGGAAAGGAGGTGTTACTTTCATCTGGGACGAATCGCGAAGTGGTTGCGGTTAAGCATGGTTGCAAGTCCCCGTTCAGCAAAATACCGTCCATCTACTGCATTACGTTTAAAAAAAAAAAAAACATCCTGGAATGCTGATTCCTCTGTAAATACCAACAAGCAATGGATTTGCATGCCGTCCAAGTGGTGCGAAATGGATTTCGTCCATCCACTGTATTAGCCAGGGTTAACAAACACGCCAGGCTGGCCGCTGAAAGCAGTGCCGTCGGATCCTCCATGTGGCGCACCAGCTTGGCCACCTGCCGTGGAGCCGTCCCAAGGCCCCCCACTCAGTGAAGGTCCACCAACCCGCAAGAACAAACCTGAAAGGCCGAACATAGATTCTTTGGACAGCCGCGAACACAACACCCACAACGGGCCACACCCGCAAACACACGCACAGAGACACACACAGACACAGACGCACAGACACACAGAGACACAAAGACACAGACACAGAGAGACACGGAGAGACACGGAGAGACACGGAGAGACACCGAGAGACAAGGAGAGACACAGAGAGACACAGAGAGACACGGAGAGACACGGAGAGACGCGGAGAGACACGGAGAGACACGGAGAGACACGGAGAGACAAGGAGAGACACGGAGAGACACGGAGAGACACGGAGAGACACACGGAGAGACACGGAGAGACACGGAGAGACACACGGAGAGACACAGAGAGACACACGGAGAGACACGGAGGGACGCGGAGAGACGCGGAGAGACGCGGAGAGACGCGGAGAGACGCGGAGAGACGCGGAGAGACGCGGAGAGACGCGGAGAGACGCGGAGAGACGCGGAGAGACGCGGAGAGACGCGGAGAGACGCAGAGAGACGCGGAGAGACGCGGAGAGGCGCGGAGAGACGCGGAGAGGCGCGGAGAGACGCGGAGAGACGCGGAGAGACGCGGAGAGACGCGGAGAGACGCGGAGAGACGCGGAGAGACGCGGAGAGACGCGGAGAGACGCGGAGAGACGCGGAGAGACGCGGAGAGACGCGGAGAGACGCGGAGAGACGCGGAGAGAGGCGCGGAGAGACGCGGAGAGACGCGGAGAGACGCGGAGAGACGCGGAGAGACGCGGAGAGACGCGAGAGACGCGGAGAGACGCGAGAGAGGAGAGAGAGAGGAGAGACACGGAGAGACACGGAGAGACACGAGAGACACACGGAGAGACACGGAGAGACACGGAGAGACACGGAGAGACACGGAGAGACACGGAGAGACACGGAGAGGAGAGACACGAGAGACACAGAGAGACACAGAGAGACACAGAGAGACACGGAGAGAGAGACACAGAGAGAGACACAGACACAGAGACACAGAGACACAGAGACACACAGAGACACACAGACACACACACAGAGACACACAGAGACACACAGAGACACACAGAGACACACAGAGACACACAGAGACACACAGAGACACACAGAGACACACAGAGACACACAGAGACACACACAGAGACACACACAGAGACACACACAGAGACACACACAGAGACACACACACAGACACACACACAGACACACACACAGACACACACAGACACACACAGACACACACACAGACACACACAGACACACACACAGACACACACACAGACACACACAGACACACACAGACACACACAGACACACACAGACACACACAGACACACACACAGACACACACAGACACACACAGACACACACAGACACACACAGACACACACAGACACACACAGACACACACAGACACACACAGACACACACAGACACACACAGACACACACAGACACACACAGACACACACAGACACACACAGACACACACAGACACACAGAGACACACAGACACACAGACACACACACAGAGACACACACACACACTAGTGACACACACACACACACAAGTGACACCCACACACACACGCACGCACGCACGCACGCACGCACGCACCCACCCACCCACGCACGCACGCACGCACGCACGCACGCACGCACGCACGCACACAAGCACACCCACCCACCCACCCACCCACCCACACACACACACACGCACGCACGCACGCACGCACGCACGCACGCACTCACGCCCCCGCCCGCCCGCCCGCCCGCCCGCCCGCCCGCCCGCACGCACGCACGCACGCACCCACACACACACACACACGCACACACACACACACACACACGCGTGCGCTCTTACGTCTTAGCCACATTCTCCCTTCAATGCATGGGATGGACCGGTAGGCCGGCCAATCCATAGTTTCCTCTGTAATGTCCTGAGGGGTTGCCAACATTTCCGACTCTTGCAACAAAAGGAAGCTCAGTTGAAAGCGCCTCAAGCCCCGAAGCTGCTGAAAACAAGATTTGGGGCTGGTTAAAGGCGTAGCAGCACCGGGCCTGACGCTTGACGCTTGAGAAAACCCAGCCGTACGCGAAAGGGTACCTTGGGGCTTGCCCAAGCCCGAACGTGTCCCACGCCTTGCTGTCCAACTTGCCGAGGTCCCGCTGCAGTGCAAATGTGTCGATGGCTTTGGCTGGACCCTTGCCTGGCACAGGATATCATCCACTTAGCGAAAAATAGTCCCAAGGAAAAAGCCAGCCTGTTCGAAATCCATCGGGGCCTGGTCACAATCCCTAATGCGCTTAATCCTTGTTCTGGTCGGAGACAGATTCTTAATCCGGAATCCTCGCTGCTCAAGCTCAGTTTCGAAACCTTTTGCTGGAGCATTGAACACCTATGCGCAATTCGTAAAGCGCGCAGTCCCATCCGCAAACTGCATAGTCCGCAATCTGCTAATCATTGGGAATTGGGTTTTGTAGAAGCCAGGAAAAACCAGCGTCCCACGTGGGGCAAAGGGTCAACCAAGCTTGTCCACGTCTGCCTGGGACCAGGTCCCGCGGCCGGGCAACGCCAAATCAACATGGTTAGTAGAGGTCTGCTCTGTTCGGAGACACCATTCTTTGCGGATTCCACTCGAACCTTTAGGGAAGGAGGTGGAAGCATGTTGACCGTGTTTTCTTTAAGGCGGTCTCTGCTCTACCTTGCCAGGGACTTCTACACCTCTAAACCTCAATGAGTTTCTACACGAATTCATGAGCCGTTGTACACTTGCGCAAAGAACCTGGGAATACAAGCATATAAGTTTACAAGAACCTTTTGGAACCTTGACCATGCATGGTTGCCAAAGTGGGACAGACCAAAGGTACCCCAGAAGTCGGGTGGGTCAAGCGATTCATCCTCCACCAAACCCCGCGTTTGAAACGGAGACGGTCCGCGTGAACCTCTGTCTTGCAGAAGGCTTGTGCTTGGCACTTGCTTATCCGGACACCAATTGCTAAGAGCATAATACACCACCCAAAGGAATCTCGATTCAAATTGGCCGCCAGAAAGTTGATGTGTCAACAAATAAAAATAGACCACTGCTATATAAACTGGAGGTTCAACCTTTTCGGGGGCTTGATCAGGAATGTTAGCCACTTCCCAAGTATTCAATGACTCAGGAAGTGCGCCTCAGAACTACAGAAGGGCATAGGTTGGTCATGCAAGATGCCACGCGGTAAAATGGCTAGCTTCAGAGGCCCAAGTTTCGGTGAGCTTTCCATAAACCCTAAAAAAGACGAGACCTCAACGGATATTTGTTCAAATCAAGGGAGGCAAAACCTTTTGCTGCGATGTGCTTAGCGAGGGTACCTGGAACCCAAACGAAAAACGATACAATCTTGCCGGCCCCCATGGGTCCCCATGTGACACATCCCCAAACACTGGTTTGTCGCTGGAGGAGCCGTAGAAACCTTGTGACGATTAGAGATGGCCATTTTCACCCTCACCCTCTCGCACCTCAGATTTGCTTCAAATAAAAAAGAAAACTGGGCGTCATGAGACCATGGGCTAGAAATTTGCCAAACCTGATGTCCAACAGGGAGCCCGAAGTGCCCAACAGGGAGCCCGAAGGCTGGCGATTCCCCTGTGGTTTCCCTAGCAAAAAAGGTTGAGCCTCCCAGCCGCCAAGGGCCAAAGGCCCAAAATACATCGGCGAGCTGCAGCGCATGATCCCTGAGATGAACTCCTCCAAGGTCACCTACGTTCCACCAGGCACCGTCTCTCATCATCTTTGAAGTGGAGCCATGGGTGTTTGGGCGTTTCTGAAAATGCAGGTCCCCTTTTTGGCGTAAAACCAAAAAGGAAACCAACCACCAGGGAGTTCCAGAAAAATCACCCCCCCAAACCAAATTCTGGCTTGTTGAAGTGGAGCCATGGTGCTCATGCAGGGCGTTAGCCTGGACCAACCTGAGACGTGGTTTGCAAATGGGTGTTTCTCAAAGTAAGGGACCCCTTGTTGGGAAAGAGGAAGCCAACGGAAACCAACCTGAAGGGTTTGGTCCCAATTTTTTGAGCAGCAGCCAACTGGGATTCTGCACATGGGCGTTTCTCAAAATCACCCCTTCGCGGCAAAAAAAAAAGAAAAGCCAAAGGAAACCGACCAAATGGGATTCGAGGGCTCAAATTCTGGTGGGCACCTGGTTCATATGAAGCATCCCACTGGAAAACCACGTGATCCTGTGCCGAAAAGCGCGGCGGACGTTCGACCGAAAACCAGATTGAGCAAGTTCCCCGGCGGCTTTGATGCATTCCCAAATGAATACCATCAAGAAGCGCCAACAATTACGGCCACACACCGGCAGGAAATCCGATATTAATCCCAAATGCATGTTTTTGATTGAGTTTACTTTAATCACCTGTAGCTGAACTTCCAGCACTGGCAGACACGGGACTTCGCTTGTGCTGCCTCCAAATAGAAGACTCGCAACGGCCCATGAAGGTTTAAGCTAAGCGAACCCAATGCTGCCAGTGACCCTGGCAGAAACAAAGGAAATGCCGAAGAGGAAATTATGACCGAACAATCATCTAGCAAGAGGAACAATCAAACTTTCTACCCTGATCCGATCACTATTGTTGAAATATTCGGTGTGAAGCACTAAAACACGGCTGAACAGAACGACGGGAGAATCCCATGGCCTCGCCATCGCCGGTATCCAAAAGATGGAAGAGCGCAGCACCCTCTTGCACGTCGAGCTCCAAAGTCTGGAAGTAGGCTTTAACCTTCCTCAGGGATCTTTTTACTCTCACCCCCGAAATGCTTAGGCACACACAGAGTCTAAATATGTCTAAATGTGCACGCACGCTGTCAGCGTTTTCGCTTCGTTCCTGAAAGTGTGAAAGCACGGTTTGCCTGTTTCGGTGCTGCACTGCAAAGAGGGAAACACCCCCGGAAACTACAACATTCAGGATTCTATGTCGTTTTCTCACTTCCCGAGTTGATGGGCCAAAAAAGTCCAAACTTTTTGTTTACCACTTCTCAAAAAGTTTAAGGTCGAGAAACTCGTGAAGTGAGTTTTGGCTCCCGAAAACCCATAATTGTTTAAGCACCTGCTGGCAAACCCTCCGTCAAAAGACAGGTCCTGGCATCTCGGGCTGCGTGGGCCCCTAAACTACTCACATCGTTCGCTGCTTCGGTTTTCATTACACCAACAGAGTAAGCAACAACCGTCCCAGTCCACTGACAGTTCACTAGGATGTGTTGTGTGTGTGTGCTTGTGCTTGTTTTTGATGGCACCCTGCTTGGGGTGTCTGAATATATAGCACACCGACACCAAATCACTCATGTGGAGTTATGCTTTTGCAAGGGTGTCTTTCTCAGATTGGCTCAAAGTAAAACGAACAAAAAAAAACACCCATCTTGGGGTCCCCCCTATTTGGGCACCCACGCAGCGTTGCCCCCTTTGCAAGACAACCCCGTATAAGCTCAATCCAGTTTCCGGCCTAGGTGCGAAATACCTGCTCCCAGTTGCCCAATTCCTTGAGTGGCATCTTTGAAGCGGCACACACCAAAGGGGCAGCAGGTGGAATAAAAAATGGTGCTACCACATCCTGAATTCTTGGCTTAGCGCTCATTAGAGGCGAATTTGGCCTGGAATTTGGAAACCTCCTTGCCTCTGAGGGCCACCAGCTAGCACGACGGGCATAGGACCCCAACGGCTGAACCAGTCTACTTAGGTTTGGGACTAAGCAACCATTGCTAGAACCCACTTGCCTTTGGGCGGGACACGGAAAAGTCCCGCTCAGTGGGCTTCGTCCAAGTTTAGCTACCTCCGCGTCCCAGACCAACGGCAGCCGAGTCAGCCGAGCCAAGCGGCGCGTTGGCCAAGATCTCGGTGAGGCGGGCTTCCGTGAGCACGCCCTCTCCGGTGCTATCGATGGAGTGGAAGATGTTCTCGAGGCGAGCCACGTACTCCGCCTTCTTGCCTGGAAGCTTCGAAAAAAGGTTGTCAGTCCATAAACATACCATAAAACCAACACTGCGGTTTTGTGCTTGGGAATGACGGCGTGTTCAAACTAGATCAAATCAGCGCATTTCTTAGAGGGTCTGAAGAAACATGAAAATTCCCCCGCACCCCCGCCCCGGCTCAACATGGCAGCTCGTAAGTACGAAGTAGCGCGTGAAGGCCTCTCCGCAGCTTCGGCTCGAACCGCGCAACTTTGAAATCGCAGCTTTGGTTCGGCAATTGCACCTTCGTAGCTATGAAAGTAGCACGCGATACGGGCTTGCGCAGCTCCGGCTCGAAAATGAAAAGGATGTAGGCGAAGTGCATCTTCATTCTGCGCAAGTTGATCAGTGCAACAAGTTGCAAGTCAGTCTGCGCGAGACACCATGCTCAAGCCACTCTACGCCGGTCAAACTGCGCAAGCCGCTCTGTCCAAATCACCCTGTGCGATATACTCTGCACAAGCCACTCTGCTCAGACTGCGCAAGTTGCACTGCACGGATCACTC